CTGGACCAGTGTTACCAGAGCTCCGGTGTTCAGGTCCACCCTACCATGTATCCAGTGACCGGTGCTTCGGGGGGGGCCACTCTGAGCCCCTGACTGAGGATGCCCACCCAGTTAGACAGACGGGACCCGTGCCACAGCAGAGTCCTGGTTCAGAAAAGTCAGAAGTGGAATATTCTCAGCAGTTTTTATAGGAATCTGTGTCAAAATCCACTGTGGAAAATAAAAGGCTACCTGTTGTGCAGCTGTGACAGGAAGTTGGCGCTCTCTCTGTCCCGGTCCACTGAGAAGATGTCGGTGACAGTCATGGTGTAGGTGTTGTGGGTGGAGGCGTGCGTGGACTGCAGGTACTGTTCTATCACCTTCCAGACAAAAAGCATAACTGAATCACCCTGCAGTACACACACACACACACACACACACACAGACAGACAGACAGACAGACCTTGAACTCGTGGGTGCAGGAGTCCAGAGGCTGCAGACCACAGTGGAGGTTCTGGTACTGTCTGTCCAGAGGATGTTCATCACCGTCGTTACTGGACCGCACCATCTTCACCGCGATCTGAATGTCACTCAGTGCCTGGGAAAGAGACACCAGTGATCAGAGAACCAGGTGTAAGAACACACACAGCCCAGGGGAAAATCTTTTACCTCTAAAAGGGCAATTTTCTCCTTCAGCTCTGCCTGGGAGTCAATGATTGGTGGACGTTTCAACCTGTGAAAAAAAAAAATCTCACATAACAAAACAGGAATATTTTTCTGTCCCTGTTTCACAGACTTAAACACAGTTGTGAAGTCCTCACCCAAAATTATGAGGGATACGGGTGTAGAACTGGTTGCAGGCGTCTTCCAGCGTCTTCCTGCTGCTCTTGTTCTTCAGACACTCCTCGATCTTCTTCAGCGCAGTGTAGCCTGAACGGATCTGCTCCGAGGTCAGTTTTCCTGCAGATCGGAGTGAAAACACCGGGAGTGTGAAAACGACTCAGGGAAACTGTGAATTCTACATCAATGACGGAGTCGCGCTCACCCAGAGGAGCTTTCTTGGTGTCAAACTTCATCTCCAGCACACACTCCTCTAAGGCCTTTAGGTCACAGATGAGCTGCAGCAGAGACTGGACCTTTGGATTCAGCCTCGAGGGCTTCTTCTGGACCTCGGTGCTGGACGTCGACCCGAGCTTCTCCTCCTTCTGGACCAGTGAGAAACAGCAACACACACTTTAACCCAAGTTCTTTAGGGTTTTTTTCAGATGCTGCTGATCCTCAGACTCACTTTCTCATCTGTGTTATAGTCCATGTAGACGATGTCATATTTTCCGGGCACTTTCTCAAACGTCTCTCTGTATTCCCACTCGTTCTTGGTCTTGTCTGAAAACCTGCAGGGAAACACACAAACTTGAAGTCACACAGATAAAACACCACAGGGGGCGCTGTGTAGAGAGAAAGACATGCTCTTACTTTTTCTTGAAGACATTTTTGGCCTTTAACAGATCACTGCCGCAGGCGACCAGGCTGTTCTGACCCGGCTGACCCACTGATGACACCAACAATACAACACACTGAGATGGAAACTATTGGATTTTCATGTATGTAACATTACAACCAGTCACACTGGTTAAACATCCAGATATGAGTGGAATCCCAGCCCAGCAGTGACCTCACCTCTGCCCCACCTCATCCACACACTGTACACCTTGGAGCTGTCGTCCTGCAGCAGCTGGATCAGGTAGAACTTATTGTTGTTAAACTGCAGGTTTGTCTGTAGGTGAAATAAAAAAAAAAAATGAAGTGACATTAGGACAAGCCACAGACAAAAAAATAATTATATTGATTAAATATAAAGGATTTCACCTGATTTAACATCACGTCATAAACGTCACTTCCTTCACAATAAACATGAGCCTGAAGGGGAAAAAAAACTTTTATGAGCCGTAACAAGAGACAAAAGAGTTTTCTACTGCGTGAAAAACAAACTGTTACCTTTCCAACTTTACTTTTACATTCAGGATCTACTGGAGCTTTTCCCTTCATGACCACGGTCCTCACCGCTGCACCACAGACCAAGAAGAGACAAAAATGAGATTAAAGTCTGACGTCAACATTTCACAGACTGGTGTTCGTGTGGAAAAAGCCACAACAACAGGCGACTGATCATTCTGACGACTGTTGTTATTACTGTGGACAACTGCTTCCTTACATGTGATACTTTAATAACTCTACATCTGAGGTACAGTGATGTTACCGTCACATTCTGTTTCCCCATCGGGTGTTTTTTCGTTCTTCTGCGATCGTTTCCTCTTGGCTGCAGGTTGTTCCTTCTCCTCCTCCTCCCGCTCCTCCTCCTTAAGCTCCTCTTTAATTTGAACTACAGTGTCATGACTAACAGTCAAGTCGCTGCTTTCATTCAAGACTTCTGTAAAGAGAACAGAAAGTCTGTATTTTTCAAACCTGCTTTACTTCTAGTAAAGTAGTAAAAAAAAGTAAAACGGACTCATCTTTCACCTTGTTTAACTTTCTGACAGCGAATCTTCCTCTTGTACTTGGTGACAGGATTAATCTGGACCATCTTCTTAAGGTCCACATTGTAGGAGGCACCAGAATCTAAAGTCAGAGTGAAAGAGGTTTGTCCTGAGGAGACGGCGGAGTCCAACATCGCAGAGGCCGAAGGAGAATAAGCTTCCCACTGGCCATCATCTCCCCTCCACTGCCACACTGATGACAAAGACGGAAAGAAGCAGGACTGGTCTTTAAATTCATTGTTCATGATAAAGTCCCTCACATCACGGCTAAAATACAGCCTTCAACCGTCCAAGTGTTGTTTCTTTAAAAAATATAATTTAACTCGCACTACCTTTGGTTAAATAAAACAACTCGAGTACAAGTACTGTTGGTAGTAGATTATAATACATCTACTTTCTAGCAGTAACAGGACACTTATCACACCAGTGCAGCCGGATGTGTAATGTGTAATAACAACCGTCCAGGTGTACATGTTGGGACAGTAGCAACATTACGAAAACAAAACTATCAGTTTGCCTAATATTCGACATGAATGTTAAATGAAGACCTTTATTCAACGGTCTGTGTCCAGACATGTTCAACAACAACAGCTAACCCGGGCTCACAGCGCAACACAAACCTGTTTTTAACCGGGATTCTTCTGTTTCTTTCACACACTGGCTTTTATTTCTCGAGGTTCTTGTTCGCCTCATAATGTTACAAGGACAAAAACAAAACAACAATAATGAGCTATTTACACAAATAAAATTCAGTGAGAACAGGCGACGCGGCAAACTTTAAACTCCCCCTGTCGTTTCCGGAATTGTCGGGTTCGCTTAATATTAAGATGTTTGACTCGCTCACAAATCCACACTCTTATACACAAACACAAATCGTGTTTCTACAACACTTTTTGGTTATATAACACTTCATTTACCTAAATAATAATACTATCTGAGGTCTATTCGCATTAAACAATTTCATATAATTTAATTTAAATGGCTCGCCGGACAGCATTAATTTTACAAAAATTGCCGCAGAGTGAGTGCTCCTGTATGCATGTTCATCTAAGGAGGACCTATGTCGCCGGAACCTAAGGTTCCGCTTAAACAATTGTCGGGCTTGTTTTGTTGACGGACCAGTTGTAAGATAATGTGGTCTTTGCTCTTGGCAATAGACATCAGAGTTTCATCTTAAAAAAAAACATCTCACAACAAATTACGAAATGGCAAATATGGCGTCGCGGAGTTACAGTGTTTGTGTTCTTTGCCGGAGGTCGGGGTTTGTGAGGATGTTGATGAGGGTGAGTGTATTTTGTTGTGTGTCATTGAACGCATCATTTAGGTCACAAAATTAAAACTTTGAATATTGGGATGAAATATTTTATTTTATCTATCATCGTCACAGGTTGCATTTCATGTCAATTAAATTGTTTCAGTCGTTATATGACAAATAATAAAATCATAGAAACACCACCATGTTCTGTCAGACTGAATAGAATGAATCGTTTCAGAATTGATTTAATACAATGTATTATTTAATTTAATGAAAGTTTAGTTTAATACCCTGCATTTCTGTTCTCAGGGAATGAGCACATCAGCTCAACCCCAGCCTCAGATAGATTTCCTCAAAGGAGTTCCACACAAGAGGCATCCAGGTGTGACCAACCTGAAAACTCTGCGCCTGCCTGAGGAACTTCAGGCTGCAGCGCAAATAATTATTCAGGGTAAGTTTGGTTAGTTTTCTGGCATTATGAGTCATTTTCACAATTAAATAATTTAAAGGAGATCATTAAAATTACATCTCTCCTCCTGCAGACTCTAAGGAGAGACAGTTGCCGGAACGTGCCCAGAAGCTCAGCCAATACCTGTGGAGCAGAAAACGAGCTGTGGAGGACTCAGCTCTGAGAAAAAAGGCTGTGAGTCTGGAGAGGGAATATTGGAACGAAGCCATGGAGAAGATCACCGGAGGTGACTTGTAAAAACATACAGCCGGTTTTTCAGAAACATGAAGCAGATACATTAGTTCTTGTGAACATGTTCAGTACGTAGTAGTAGTCTCTGGTCACCTTTATTTTGCAGAATTTGACGAGGAGGCGCTGGATAACAAAATCAGGAGAAAAGTGTTGACGGAGCTCAAAAAAACAACATATCACTGGACTCCTATGAAGTAAATTTGACCTTTATTTTACTTTTTGGGATCTATAAAATTATTTTGACTCTTTTGTCATCTTGTAGCCTGAGTTGTGTCTGTGTTTCAGGTACGATGAAGAGGTCGCGGTCGTGTACATGGCAGCTCGCTTGGCCGGAGGCTACGCTGCCGTGAGGAGAGCCCTGAACGAGGTCGATCATTTAAATAGAAATAGAAAAAATTAGACGTTAAGACTGTCTATCAAAGGTTTACCGTAACATTGTTCTTTTCCAGATCAAGAAGAGAGATCCAGCTTTTGCTCCTCACTCTCTTCTGGATTTTGGTTCTGGACTGGGAACAGTCGTCTGGTTGGTTAAAAAAACAGAAGAATGACGATATATAAAGTGTTTGTGTCTGATATAAGCATCAGTTGTGTTTACAGAATAACGGTCTTTGTTTGATGGCAAAAGCTTTCATAAACATGATTAACACATGATTAAAAGAAAAATTTAATGTAATGAAAGTAATCTCCCTCTCCACAGGGCGGCTCACTCTCACTGGGCGGAGTCTCTGAAGGAGATGATCTGTGTGGACAGCTCTGGACCAATGAACATTCTGGCAGAACGACTTCTGAGAGGTTTTTTTACACAGTTTAATTTTATTTTTTTTAATCAGTAATTTTTTAAATGATTTATTAAATAATCTGGGCTTTTTTCTGCTCCTCCTTTGCTTCATTGAACAGGTGATGATGAAAAAGCTCAGCCTCACATCAAACATGTTTATTTCAGACACTTTCTTCCTGTCTCCCCAAAGGTAAAAAAAAAAAAAAACAACAAAAATGAAACTTTATACTAAACAGTCTGAATTTTTCTTTTCTTTTTTCCTGCCTTTTTCAACTTTACTTTCTTTTTTTTCTGGAATACATTTTTCCAAACAAATCTTGAGACATGTTTAAAAGTGTAAAAATAAAACATATTTTATAACACACATTTTTTCTGCATGTCCATCCTAAGATCTTTTGAGCTGTAAAAGTGAAAACATTGCTGTGGTTTATTTATTTTTCTTCTGTTTCTCTGCAGGTGCAGTTCGACCTGGTGGTGTCAGCGTTCACTCTGTCAGAGCTACAGAGTGTGAAGGATCGAGAAGAGGCCGTGTTCACTCTGTGGAGGAAGACCAGCTCTTACCTGGTTGGTTCAAAGAACAACATCAACCTCCTGATTTTCCTCTCAGTGCAGCACGGTGACTCAGTGTGACCTGATGGAGTGTAACCTTGAGTGTTCGATTCCAGGTGCTGATAGAAAACGGGACCATGGAAGGACATCAGATCCTCATGGAAGCCAGAGACTCTTTGTTAACGGTCAGTGCAGCAGATCCTTCAGCTGAAGGGAAATGTATTTTCTTCAAGATCGAGCCAAAAGTAAAGTTACATTTCCATGGATAAGTCTGTCTAAAAGTTCTGTGTTTCTCCAGAAACAGGAGAAAATGGTCCACGATCCCAGACCAGCCTCAGTCTTCGCTCCTGTGAGTACAGATGGTTTTATAAACATCACATGACCAGAGTCTCACAGGTCTACACTGCTGCTTCTTCTTCTTCTTCTTCTTCTTCTTCCAGTGTCCTCATGAACGCACTTGTCCTAAACTGACTGGACACAGGGTTCTCCCCTGTAACTTCGTGCAGCTCTACCAGCCTGTGTCTCTGCCCAGGGTGAGACTGGAAACCACAGTCACAGCAGTTACTGATGCTGCCTTCAAGTGCTGTCAGAAATAGAAGTTCAACAGAACTGTAGTTTCTAAATGAATTTTTCCTCAGTTCCCGAACAACAGCCCACAGAGGGAGAAGTTCAGCTACCTGATCCTGACCCGGAGTGGGTCCCAGCAGGAGGAGACAGAGGGTCTGGACTGGGCCAGACTGGTGGCACCGGTGCTGCGCAGGTCCAGACACGTTCACTGTCATACGTGTGGCTCAGACGGAGAGCTCAAACACCTGGTGGTGACCACCAGCAAATACACCAAGTAAATACCATCACACACCTGTAACACTGTCAGAACCAACACAGCAGCAGTCTGGGTTCCAGTTTTAACCGTCTAGAGTCTAGAAACATCGACTTCAAATTTCCTGACGTTAATTTTTTTTTTTTTCAACAGAGACATTTATCGCTGCGCTCGCAACAGTGAGTGGGGAGATCAGCTGCCGCTCCTTCAGACAGAAGAGGAGGATGAGGAGGAGGGGGTCCAGAACCAGAGTGACTCAGAGTGATGATGGACTCACAGATCGACTGACGGCTTCATAAAACACACGACATGAAACACCAGTTTGCTTTACAACTGCATTTTCTGTCTTTATTTTGTAAATTTAAAACTACTGGGAATAGGGATGTATATACAATTTTTTTTCAACAAAATGATCTCCAGACAAACTGTGACCAAACACTGATCCTTTATTTGTCAGATCCATCACCAACTGATGTGGTCTGTGAACCTCATCAACTGACATTGTTCTCTTCAATAACAGAAGAGAAAAAACGTCACATTTCTTCATTCATCGTTACATCCTGAACTGTCGGTGGTTTTGTCCGTTGCCAACTTCCTGTTGAAACTTTTGGATCATTGATCAATAACGATGAAGATGAGAACCAGGACAGAGATTCCAGATGTTACAGAATGAAACACTTTTATTGGACAAAATGACGTCTTGCATCTTTCAGTTGGACTCCAGGATAAAGATTTTAAATTTGTACAGATTCCTTCACTTCCTCATCTCCCAACAATCTCTTCCAGGGCAGAAGTCAGGTCTGGGAACTTGTACTGATACCCAGTTTCTAAAGTCCTCCTTGGTATGACCTTCTGTCCCTGTGTGAGGACCACAGCCCTCTCTGAGCCCAGCAGGGCGTTCATGGCGAAGCCTGGTACAGGTAGAAGGGTGGGCCGCCTCATAACACGGCCCAGCTCTTTGGTAAACTCATAGTTGTTATTCAGAGCAGGCGCGACTCCGTTTAGGACTTGTGGAGAATCGGAGGACGTGTCGGGAGTCGGAGGCTCCAGGGAGTGGGCGATGATTCCTGCCAGGTCTGAGACGTGGATCCAGGGGAACGGCTGTCTTCCTGACCCCAGGGTGCCACCCAGGCCGAGCCAGAACGGCAGCCACATTTGCTTCATGGCACCTCCATCACGACCCAACACTGCCCCTAGTGGAGAGAGTGGGGAAGGAGGAACTGTGTCCGTCATATCTTGTCTAATCATAATAATCATATGTGTCCAAATGTAAAACATACAAATATGAATGAACCTACCAGGTCTGATGACGACCTGTCTGGTGGTGTTTGCCACCTCCTGGGGCAAAAGTGCAGCAGCCTCCCACTCTTTGACAAGTCTGGAGAGGAGGTCGAACGGCGCCCACTCACTGTCCTCTGTGTACTCGGCCGTCAGACTGGGTTTGTAACAGGCTGTGGCCGTAAAAGTCATTAAATATGAAATATGAAATAAATCATATTGACATCAATCCAGAACAAAGACAGAACCGACACAGTGGCGTCCTCGAGCAGAGACTCACCGACTCCTGACACCAAAACCCAGGAGTGGGGAGGATTGGGAGACGCAGCGATGGCCTGAGCCAGAGTTCTTGTCGTGTCAATGCGACTGGAAAACAAATCTTTTTTATAACTTTCATTCCACCTGAAATAAAAGATGAACACAAGTTAATGTTACCCTACAAAAACAAGTTTGTAGCCTCTATGTGATCACTACACACCATCTGAGGGGGTTCATGAGATTCTCCCCAGTCAGGTTGACAGCGCCTTCACATGGCGGGAGGCCTTTGGACTCTACATCACTCTGCAGGAACAGACCAGAAAGATTTTTCCTCCAAAGCCTTATTTTGTAAACGGGTCTCGTTTTTATATACAGCTCATGACTGATCATACCCATGTTATGTTCCCTGGACCGGGCTGGCGTGATACAACCGTGACCTCATGACCTTTGCTTATGAGCAGGCGAGTCAGCTCACGGCCCACAAAGCCCGATCCTCCTCCTACAAAGAAGACAACATATTTTAAAAAAACACATAAACAGAGGCAGAAACA